AAGCAAGTTGTCACATCCAGACTGTTTGCTGTGAATGGTCCTTGGCTTTTGATAATGCTTAAGCAATGTCACAACATTGTCTGGGAGAGCAAGAGCTGACACAGGCCAATACTCTGCCAAAGATGCTGCTGGTAATGTTGTAATACAGACAGTGCCTGACCTATGCCCTGATCCTGTTTCATTTACTGTTATAAAATAATGAGGATATGTAAAATAAATGAGTAGACATCCTGAAACAGGGAGAAGTAGTTTGGAATCTGAGATCAGTTGTGAGCTCATGGAAACATTTACAGTTTATGTGACATACAGCAGAAATTTCATACAAGTATTTGTTAATATTGCCTAGATTAGAAGAGTGAAGTGCCAGGAAATCACTCAACGGCTTCTGCTAAATAACTAAAAATGTTGCTAAGTACCTCCACGGGGCAGCTATCTTGAGATTGGGACATCATTCCTTCTAATGGAGACTGTAAAATCCAGAGCTAAGCCAGGAATTCCTCTAGGAAGGAGCAGAGAATCCAAGGAGAAAAGGATGAAAGTTTTGTGGCAACCCCCGCTACCGTGATTTTTGTAGAGCCACATCTGAAACTGGACAGAGCATTGAAGAGTCTAGACCAGGGAATAAGTCATGCCCAGGCAAGATGAAGCTTGGTGTCCTGTGATAGAGCTCCCCTAACTTTAATCTTTTTTAAATAATACGCCAAAATATGGCTGCCCCCTGCAAACCTTGGGTAATAGACACTACCCTACTGACAGGGTGAAATCTAGAACTCTTTATAAAAAATAAAATTAAAAAAGCTCAAATTCTGTATATTCTGCAAAGCAATGCACATCACCTGACTTAAGTACGCTGATAATTTTTGAAAGATTGGTCTTCTCTGGAGGTCAGCATTTGCTTACTTGCTTGCTGTTTATCAGTGATTGTTAACTGAGGCAATTTGTTATTATTTTTTAACGTCATCAGTGGTACATCTTGGCTACTCCGTTGTTCCTAACCATTGCTACATTTCTGGTTTAGGCTTGTGATTATTTCAGAGTAACAAGCCTGTAGTAATTTGAATGCTGTGTTCACTGCATCTCCTAAAGATTTGCTTTTTCCCCAGAGATTTACTTTTTTTCTACAAAGCACTGTCAGTGCTCAGAGTACGGTAGCAATTGTGTGATGCTGACTGTGACTTAATGGCCAGTGTTTACTAGGACATAGGACGTTTAGTGAGTCATATAAATCAGCATTAAGACTGCAGATATCAGGGCTTAGTCTTGAGTAGCTGACAAAACCAGTGAGCCCAGCTTGCCTAGCCTCTACTGATAGGAGTCTCTTCAGCACCGAACAGGCTGATTGCACAACCACATGGGTTCAGTACTTCTTGTCTTTTCAAAACATAAAAAAAAAAAGGCACTCAAATTCCTGCAGAAAGAGTTTCATTTTCTTACCCAGGCGTCTCCCCAGAGCTGCAGGTTGAGGCTGGTTCTGTCTGTTGCAAGACACTAAGCAAGTAGAAGCAGACACGAGGATGGAGCTTCTTGCTTTGACACTTTCGATCCTTGTAGGACTTGCTTGTATCAAAATACGAGTGTAACCATAGTACTGGCTTGTCAGTATCGTATGTTCCCAGGATGGCATCCTGGGGCATAAAGTCTGAGCCTCTAAATGCTGTTTAGAAAGCTTATCTAGCCTACGGAGGGTCAGAAGGTACTTCCATTTTTCAAGTTTGTTCCCCAGTGCATGTAGTGAGCTATTGCCATATTTGGCCTCTCAAACGTTTTTTTCATTCATGCTTAGTTTCTCAAGTTTTATTGAAAGTAGTACTGTAATCTTTTATAACAAAAACAGAGTGAGAACACTAACTGGAAGTTTTGTGAAGCCTTACTAAATACAAAGCAGTTACCTTGTTTTAAAACATACAATCCGTGGGATATTTCAGAGCATTAATAAGAGAAGTCTGGAGTCAGTGCTGTTCTGTGGGAGAGAATATTGAAAGCTTTTTTTTTTTTAATTTTTGTGACTGCCATGCTGTCTAGACTTCAGCAAGAGTGTAATAGAGGATAAAATAGAAGATTTTGCCCAACATCACTGTTCTGTAGGGAACAACTGTCTGAAAAATTACTGAATATAAGAAAAGAACTAAGGGAAGAGTTGTTTAGCTGACCAGGTCAAATAAAATGAATTATCAGCAATAAGCAGTAGCTGAGACAAAAAAAAAATTTCACCCTTGTATCATCACAGAATTTGGCTGACAGGAATACCAAGTGTTGACCTTTTTAGAAACTGAATGTATTCAATCTCTTGGTTCAAAGTAGCCGTTCAAATGGAGTAAATAATCTCTTGAGAAAACAATCTCTTTAATTTGAAGACATTGTAGCCTATGCAAACATGACCATTGTTGCTTTGTGTTATTGTAAAGGAAGGGTTTATTGAGAGAAATTGGGAGGTATTAAAGAGAAATTGGGAGGAGGAAACTACATTGTATTTTCCAGCCACCACCTGCACATAGGAAAGGTACCCACATGGATGACTTCACAGAAATCATGCACAAATGACTTAGTTCTGTAAAACTTATCCCACAAGCTAAAAGAAAACAAGCAGGAAGCTCTATATACATACGTAAAATCTGGTTCCTGTGTGCTTTGGGAGTCCATCAGGCTGTCAGCATGCTCTCCTGGTGCATTCCTCTCTGAATCAGTTATTGGGTAAACTCTTAAACCCTCATCATAGAATCATAGAATAGTTTGGGTTGGAAGGGACCTCTAAAGGTCAGCTAGTCTGACGCCCCTGCTGTGGGCAGGGACATCTTCAACTAGATCAGGTTGCTCAGAGCCCCGTCCAGCCTGACCTTGAATGTTTCCAGGGATGGGGCATCCACCACCTCTCTGGGCAACCTGTGCCAGTGCTTCACCACCCTCAGCGTAAAAACTTTCTTACCCAATGCCTACTGAATGCCCAATCTTACCCAGTGCCTACTGAAATGTGAACTCTTTTGGTTCTGAATCGGCCTCAGAGAGCAGCAGGCTTACCAAATGACAGATGATGGCATGTATACCAATTGTATTGCTTTTCCTGTCCCCTAGGAAAACAAACATGCTTTCTATTGTGTCCTTCCAAAAAGCTTTTCTGTTGTAGCAGTTGATGGTAAGATGTGTGCGTCCCCAGTTAAACTTAAGTGTTTTCACCACTTAAATAGGCCTACTGATAGCTTTCAGAATTTAAGTATTCATGTTCTAGGGACTTTAGTACCGCATGCAATTAAACTGTGAAAAAAATATTGTTACCTCGCACCATTATGTACACTTTCAGTATACTTTGCCTGTTTGAACTTTAAACAACTTGCTTGCTCCAAAGTGCCAGCGCATAACCTGAGAAAACTTTTTTCCCCTCTAAGATTTTGATACAAATCTGTACAGGTGACTTTGGGAGTCATATCCTCTAGAAATTATTTTACCTCCCAGTTCCCCGGATAGTAATATTTAGAGCCACATGATTTTTTTTCCCCTTGATTGCTTTAAATGCTTACAGTGCTATTTTTCTTGACAGTTTTTTTTTTAGAGACCACTAACATTTGGTGGTCTCTTTGAAGTTGGCTGTTGTTAATGAACGAATAAAAATTGCTCGTCATAACCACATCTTAGTAGTCTGAGGTTTGCTTTAAATATTTGGCGCTCTTTTCCGGCTGAGTGCATGCTGCAGCCTCTTTCAGTGTTCCAGGAGAGGACAAGGCATCACTCTGTCCTACATCCCTGGGAATGTTTCCTACATGCAGAGTTCTGGTTAACAAAATGCCTAAGGATATATTTACTGGAGACACGTCCAAGAGGAAGAAGACCTTCAAAGAACTGATACTTTGCCAAAGGCTCTGCAAGCACATCTTTTTCCATTCCTGTAACATTGAGCTTGTGTCTCAGGTGTTTCTCCTTGGGTTGTTTTTCTAGAACGGTGAGGAAAAGATAATTGGGCTAGAGAGGACTTTTATATTTATGTAACTTTTCTAATTTTCATCTGGTTTTAGGTCTATGGACCTGGAACTCAGACAAGAGCTTTCCAGTATGTCAGGTGAGCCTTGTTTGTGCTGTCTGATATTTACTTCACTTGATGGTTCTTTGAGCTTGGCCAACTTTGTATGCATGTGCATTTTAGTCAAAGAAATCATGTTCATTCCTTAGACCAGCTTTACTTTCAGCAGGGAGACACTGAAGTTTTTAAAAGTGCCAAGAAACAAAACGTTAGTTGGTTTAGAACTTTGAATTGAAATATTGACGTGTTCTTCCTGTGAAGGGACAGCAAGTAACGGGTAGGTAAGTTTTTAATGCTGAGCAGTTTGTCAGTCCTTGCCGTTCAATGCAATACTGCCACCTTGTGTCTTTGGGGGTGCTGTGGTCAGCGTGTGTACTTCTGAGGGAAGGAACCGGTTGAGGGGGTATTGCTGTAGCGAATTCTTGCAGCGTAAGCAAGGCCAGAATGTACTTTCACTACAAAAAAGTGAATCTGTTCCTCAGAATCTTTTGTTCTGTCATGCTAGCTGAACTTCCGTGCCAGGCTTCTGGGTTGTTTTAATCATTCTCTGCTTGGAAGTGTTCTTTCCCTCTGCTGAAAGTAGTAACAGTGGCGATAGAAGCTACGGAAATCCCATCAGTTCAGCGTAGCCACTCTTTTCCTGATTATAAGTCATGATGAAAGGGATCTGGATTTGTATATCCAGGGGCAAGCTGCTAAGTTTGTTGCTGATAATCCAAAATAACTTTGGATTATTTTGCTGGGGGGAGGTAACGCCAAAATACTGTTTTTTAACAAACTTAAGAATTTCTGCAAGCGAGAAGACAATTCAAACAACAAATTGCAAAGCAGGTGGTGGTGTCATGTGCCTCTGTATTACAACTTACTCTATTCTGTTTGAAATGTGTTGGAAACGGGCCTCTAAATATGCCTGGGTTCTGGAGGGAAAAGGAAGTATTAATTGTTTTTTAGTAACTTGATATTTTTTTATATTCTTTCATATGCTCAGATGAACTATAGCCAGTGCATCCTGAAGATAATCACCCTTTCAAACTAACCTCCAGTTCAGTATAGCTTACAATAGGGACTGTGGAACAAACAGCTGAGAAAACATGCACCCATTGAAGTATACACTGTAAATCTGATTTCAGCATTCCTCACTCAGCTGCCTGATCTGCTTTACTAGAGCTCTGAGGCAGCTCTCTTTTTAGACAAGAATATTATTTACAGGGAAGTGGAAATTGCCTCAATCTGTTCCTCCTTTTTTACAGTGATCTTGTGAATGGGTTGGTGGCGTTAATGAACAGCAATGTCAGCAGTCCTGTCAACTTGGTGAGTATGAGAGCTCCACCCTACTGCACTGTGTTTACCGTGCAGTGGGCAACATCACCTGTTTTCCTCCCTGTCGCTGATGCTGATTTGTAGAAGAAATAAATGGAGCAAAAAAGCTGTTTCCATTATGAATAATGTATTCTTCCATATATTCTCTTTATAAATAAGAAGGTTAAGCCCCTAGATGTTGAGATCTTACAGTTCCAAGAACAGGATAAACTTGCTAGAGTTTTTCATTCGTTTTAGCAAAAAGATTTGTGTAATAATTAGAATATGAAAAAAAACGAACAAAATATGAGGGGGGACACACATGCAAAATACACCAAGGAAATTATTGAAGACTGGTTTTAATGAAAAAAAGCACTGAAGGAATACTTAGCTCTAAATAATTAGAAATCACATTGTACTAGCCTTGATTAGAGGAAAATGGGATAGTATTTGATTGTATGATTTTCTAATATTGATTAAGGCTGCTTAGAACTTAACTTTTCTAATAGGATTTTTGTTCTGTCCCATTTGTTGTCACCTTATTCTCAGCAGTGGATATAAGAATTGAAAAAGGATGCACATGCCAGGTCATTTCTGTGTATGCCAACTTTTGCCAGATCAGGTATTCAACTCTGCAGGGCAGTTGTTCACTAGATTTTCCTTTTTTACCGTGGCCATAAATTCAGTTCTATGTTTCTGTCCAAATGCTGATATTTTTAAACCTCATCACATGTTTTGTCTCCAGAAAACTGAATGTTTAAATCTGTATGTACCTAAATATTGAGCTTTAGGTCAAATGATGTAGTAAGAAGAGTCTTCCAACAAGGAAAGCTAGGGATGGAGGGAATTGAGTCTGATGAAGGTGAGCTAATGCTAACAGAAAGCTTTCAGCATTTTGTTCTGAAATGTTGATCAGGAGTTCACGTGCAAGTTGGTTAAAAAAACCGAGAGTTAAGAAAAGGAATATTGTATGGGAAAGCAAGTAGCCTTTATACATATGGATATGTAAGATGTAGTAAATGCAGAAGCAATTGTTTGCAGCTAAGTTGGTTGGGTTTTGTAATTCTGGATGAACTGAGAATTTAGCATACTTCATTATATCATCTGTCCTCAACTCAGCGAAGTCCTTGAATCCAGATTTCAAACTGATGATGTGTTTGTGTGGGCTGCTGAGTGGGCCTTTACTGTGATTGAGATGAATTTGCCCGTTCTTTACAGACTGATTTTTCTGGGCACCCCTCTACATACATTGAATTACCAAGGCAAATGTAATGGAGTGCAACTTTTCTAATGAGTATGGAGCTTGTCAAAGTTACATTTTTTTCATCAAAGTAGGAATAAGGCATAATGTTTAGCTTCTTTAGAATTTAACATGACCCTGTTAGAATCATCTCATGTCAGAAAGCTAACATGTCTTAGGGTGTTTAATTGCTATTGTAATGAATATCCCTTCTATTTCTAGGGAAACCCAGAAGAGCACACTATCCTGGAATTTGCCCAGTTAATTAAAAAACTTGTTGGTGAGTATGATAAGTAATTCTTAGTGAAGCTTATGAAGTACTTATTGTCGTTAGATGATTATTACTTGATTAGTGTGTGTAATATATGGATAACTTAATTGGTCTTTGGATCTCTTAACAACTTTATCAAAGGCATTTAATTGTATCCTGATCATATAATTAAATATTAATAAGATAATCCAAATCCCCTCAATTGTATGTAAAATATTGCATGAACAGTAGAATGAATACAGTCTTTCTGTGTATCTGTGCAATCTGGACCAATTATTTTGTATAATGTTTATGCATTTTTTTAGCTTTGTTTTGGCACAAAGACAATACATAAATGAAATGTAAAACACATGAATGAAAATGTTTTGCATAACATCTTAGCTGAAATATGGATACTTCAGCAAGGTGGTTCTTCACAATTATGCAGGCTGTTCTCCTTCAACTACCATTAAAAACCTCATTACTCTTTCTGTACTTTTCACGGATCTACCAGTGACTCTTGCAAGGGCTGTCAGCACCTCCCTTGTATGTGGCCGGGAAGAAAACACTGTGGCTTTCCCTTCATTCTTGCTCTGATACCTGCAGCAAATCAGAGCTCTCAAGAATGGAAGGAAAGGGCTGTGCTTAGTCTTCTAGTGCCAATTCCTAATGAGATGAAACATAGTGATGCTATTAGCCAAGAGTCTTTAGTCTGTAGATTCCAGCAGTGCTTCTGAGGGATCTGAAAAAGACAAGTTCAAACATACAGTACAGAAGCTGATGCATGTGATGTTTCTAATAGAGGACTATCCCCTCTGGAAAACGTCTGTGAATCTACAGATCAGGGAAGGAAATTGAAAATCTCAGCACTAAACCCATAAGGCACATAGAATAATTGTTACCTCCGTTTGTCTGTTTGTTCACAAACAACTTGATCTGTTTCAGTCCGCCCGGAGAGGCTGTTTAGTTCTATATCCATAAAATCCCACAGTAACATGGCATGTAAACTATTTGCTAGATTTGGTTAGAGGAATCGTCCTGTTTCTGTGTATTGTCATGAAGAAAGGCAAGTACTGTGTTGGCTATTTAAATCAGACTGGAGAGTATGGGCAAAGAGGAAGTGAAGTCCTTTTACAATGCAAAAGTGCTAACAGAATCACAGACTGCTTGAGGTTGGCAAGCACCTCTAGAGGTCATTTGGTCCAACCCTTCTGCTCAGGCAGGGCGACCTACAGCCGGCAGTGGCCCAGGACCGTGTCTAGACAGCTTTTGAGTATCTCCAGGGATGGAGACTCCACAGCCTCCCTGAGCAACCTGTGCCAGTGCCCAGTCACCCTCACAGGAAAAAAGTGTTTCCTGATGTTCAGAGGGAACCTCCTGTGTTTCAGTTTGTGCCCACTGCCTCTGGTCCTGTCACTGGAGACCACTGAAAAAAGCCTGGCTTCATCTTCTTTACTCCCCCCATCAGGTATTTATACACATGGATGAGATCCCTCCTGAGCCTTCTCTTCTCCAGAGAGAGAGTACTGGCGAGCCCAGAACTGGACCCAGGACTCCAGGTGTGCCGTCACCAGTGCTGAGTAGAGGGGGAAGATCACCTCCCTTGACCTGTTGGCAGCACTCCTCCTACTGCAGCCCAGGATACCATTTGCCTTCTTTGTGGCAAGGGCACATTGCTGGCTTTTGTTCAACTTGGTGTCCACCAGGACTCCCAGGTCCTTTCCTGCCAAGCTGCTTTCCAGCTGGTTGGCCCCCAGCATGTAGTGGTGCCTTGGGGTTGTTTCTCCCCAGGTGCAGGACTTCGCACTTCTTGTCATGAGGCTCCTGTCAGCCCTTTTCTCCAGCTTCCTTTCTCAAGGTCCCTCTGGATGGCAGCACAGCCCTCTGGTGTATCAGCAACTCAGTATTGACCGCTGGGGTACACCACTAGTTACCGGCCTCCAACTAGGCTTTGTGTCACTGATCACCACCTTCTGGGCCCAGCCACACAGCCAGTTTTCAATCCACCTCGCTCCCTGCTCATCCAGCCCTCGATAAGGATGTTATAGGAGACAGTGTCAAAAGCCTCACTGAAGTCAAGGTAGATGATATCCACTACTCTGCCCTTGGCTACTGAAGCAGTCATTTCATCATAGAAGGTTATTAGACTGGTCAGGCATAACTTCCTTTTTGTGAATCCATGCTGAAAGCTTTGTGAAATGCTTTGTGAATCCATGTTGCTGTGGGACAGCTGGTTCACGCAGCTGTTGCATGCAGTGTAGCTGTGTCTGTGGAAAGCATTTCAGTGGTAGAATTACGAAGCAGAAAGCTGCAGAAAGACTTGATGCTCCAATAGGTAGGAAAGATGTAAATGCAAAGCATAGTGAATTGCAGATGATAATGCACGGTCTCTTGTTTAATAGGCAGTGGGAGTGAAATCCAGTTTCTCTCAGAAGCACAGGATGACCCTCAGAAACGAAAACCTGACATCAGAAAAGCCAAGTTACTGCTTGGCTGGGAACCTGTGGTACGTACAGCTGTATTACTGTTGTTGTGTGCAAAAACACAGGGAGGCAGAGGGGGATGGGGGAGGACTACATGATAACGGTACATTCAGTTATCGGAATATCTGCTTAACACCATCTCCAGGACAGTTGTTTAAAAGGCTGTCTCTTGTACATTGCCCTAGTTCATGATTCAAGAACTGTTGGGTAAGACTCTGTGGCCTGTGCCATGCAGAAGAGCATATTAGCATTAGCATTTGTAATAGACTTAAGTAGAAAAAACATTTTTAGGATAGGCATTTTAACTTTTTCAGATGCATATTATGAAGTATCTACCTTTCTGTAAGCCTGATGAATCCTTTGAAATACGTGGTATTATGGGAGCTAATAAGTTTGATGTTGCTGCAATCCTCATTCCTGTTTTGCTGTGGTAACATGCGTTATGAAAGGAAAAAATTGCTTTTATTTTATTAAAATGTTTTTAGAAAATGTTTGGAGTAAGACTATTTTTAAGATGATCTGTAACATCATTGTAACTGAAAAGTTTGCTTGGATTAATAGGGAGAAATATGAGCACCAGAAAAGTGTTCTGGTTTTTAGAGTTTGTTTAAAGGGAAATATGTGAAACTAGGGCAAAACAGAAACTAGCCAGAGAGAGGTGACACATTTTGATTTTTTTTTTTTTTATTCCAGTGGACTGAAGTAAACCAGAATAAGAAGCCCTTATTTCAGACTAGGGGTATCATACGTAGAGATGTACAGAGCTTGTTCTGTGTGTTGATAAGCTCGAAATGTGCTCAGGGTTAGTCTAACATCTCACCACCCACAATAATGTCTGTCCACCTCTAAAGCTTAGTTACCAGCCATCTGAGGTGATGTCAAGATTGTGGTTGTTCTGTACAGCTAATATACAAGAAATGCAAAATGCCCGTGGTTGCTGTTTTTTCCTTTCTCAACCTTTTTGGTGAAATTAAGTGTGCGAGTGTATAACCAGGCATAGCTCACGTTAAGACGCGGTTGGTTTGGGGAGGTAAGGTCTATTTAATCCCCAGAAAGGGTGTGACTTTCTTAGCCAGCTCCCCATTCTAGCTAGCACAGTGGTTTGTAGGCTTTTTTAGATTTGCAGACAAAAATCTTTACAGGAAATGTATGAACCCATCTAGTAAATGTAAGCCTATAAATAGAAAAAGGTAGCTCTAAACCTTTCTGAAAGGATTTGCAGCGGCGCCGGATATTAATAGACTATGCCTGAAAGCACAAGGACGATGGCAAGTGTTACAGTCACAAAAGGTTTAAAACGGTTAACTTCCACACTTCTGACCTTCTGTGTTTGGCACAGTCAGTACCAAAACTTACTCTGAAGTAGCAGTACAGTGTTGGTACATCAAGGCAAGTAGTTTTTGTGCTGCTATTTTATCTTCCTGTATTGATGATGGTATCAGCAAGCATGTCAGAGCATATGGCTCCTGAGAAAAGTGGGTAGTATTTCTGTTGTTCCTGTCTACAAAGCATAGTGTTTAAATACAGGCATAGAATATGAAGAATTACAATTATTTGTATAGGACTTGAGAATATCAGATGAGATACTGGATGATAATTTGTATCCCTTTTTCTGTATATCAATGGAGCACTGAAGAAATAAAAAAAAAAACCACCACCTTCGTACCTTTCTGTGGTATATACCATTCTGCGAGATTCTGCCAAAGAGGATCTTTAATCATTAAAAACAGAAGGGGCTTATCTCTTTCAATGTATTATGAATTGAAAGTAGGATTACGTAAGTCTGTTTTGACACTAAACAGACCAATCATAACTATCTAATGAGATTTAAATTTGTTGGGTTTTTTGACTTACTACGTCAGAAAATACATCTCATGTTTAAAAGCTAACATGCATTAGCAATGCAGAGATGTAACCAGTACGGGGTGCTGTTAATACTTACATTGGCTAAGAATGAGACTTCCTAGCAGTCTTTTGACAGCTGTATTAAAAAAGATACCATTGTGAAAAGAGCTGATGTGAACTTAGACTGATATGATTCTCTCCTCACTTTTGGGAACAGGTCCCCTTGGAAGAAGGTTTGAATAAAGCAATTCACTACTTCCGTAAAGAACTCGAGTATCAGGCGAACAATCAGTATATTCCCAAACCAAAACCCGCAAGGATGAAAAAAGGAAGAACAAGACATAACTGAAGACTATTAGTTGGACAGGAAATTCCCTGCTTGACATTTGACGGATGTAATTTTTTTTTTCTTCTTGTTTTTTTTGAGAGAGACTTTGAAACAGGTATCATGAAGAACAAACTGGAATTTCATTCTGAAGCTTGCTTTAAAGAAGTGGATGTGCCTAAAAATAACAAACAAATATTCCCCTTCCCCTGCAAATCTTGCCTTGCACTTTTTAAATCTGTCTTTTTATGTAAAAATAGAGTAGAAGCATCTTTTAGTATCTTCAAGTTTTATATCTTGCTGTGAGATCATTTTGTTGTGACTGTCCTTGACAGTTTTATTTACTGGTTTCTTTGTGAAGCTGAAGATAAACACAAACAGGATGGAAAATGCCAATTTATTTATAAAATGGGTACTATAAAATATGAGATGTTCTACTATGCATAAGAAAAAAGCTAGTGGTATTGTCAGGTGAGAGACACTGACATCTAAGTATAGAGGAGTTTAAAAGAATTCTGTATGAGAGCTTTATGTATTCTTTAAAGGAGAGATTTTTTCAAAGGTTTAGTTTTAGTTGTACACTTGAATTTGAGATATTTTCATTGATTACCATGGATAAGGATATTTTGAATCACTACTGTGTTGTGCGTACTCTGGGAATAAAGTTAATGTATTATTGGTTACAGTGGTTGAATATGCTATTTTAATAAAATATTGAAACTTCTATTTACTAGTTTCAGGGTTTCACTGTGGGCACTTCTCTGGCGTTACACATCTGTGCATTTACTGTATATTAATTAGAAAGTAACAGTCTGTAAATAATTGGCTCAAAGCTAATAACATTGGTCTTTCATTGCTTGTCTCTTAACAGATATATAGGAAGGGCCGCAGGATGTCTGTTGAAATAGATCGGACAAAAACGCCATGATTTATTCCAGTTCAGGTAGTTGATAGTGATGCAGGAGTTTAAGATTGTCTTTATTCTGTGGAGTCTAACTTCAGCCTCCCTGACAAAGGAAATGTTTCTATTTTAAGCCGTTATTAAATTGCCAGTAAATGCTTTCAACTTTGATAACAAACAAACGAGTCCGATTCCCCTTATTTTTAATAGTTCCCCTTTATTTTTAATACCTAAGACTGGATACCTAGGAGGGGAGATTGGCAGAGAGTTTTTCAAAGGTATTTTGGCTTAGTGCCACTCAAAATTGAAAATCCTAAATCTCATCAGGCAAAGTGACTTGACTTTGTATCTCATCAAAGCTTGATGTTTCATTAGCTTTCGACTATCTTCAGGTTGATGGTTAAAGTGGGGGTTACCTGTAGCAATGACTTGATGCCCGGACCCAGGGAGGACTCTGGGAGCAGTGTGCTATTAGGCCCCCTTGTCCGAGCATGCCATCCGCCAGAGCCTCCCGGTGCTTGCAAGGCTTGGAGTCTCATCCAGTCTGTCTGGTGAAGTTCCCTGGGACTCCAGCAGCAGTGGGGCTGCTGTGTTCGTTCGTGTGCCCTACCTGGACCGGGTCTGCAGTGATCCTTTTAAGACAAAACGGTTTCTTCCCTGCTCACATGCGCAGGTTTTCTTCCAGTGGAAATCTGCCATGAAGCTAAGGTGGGGAGCCAGGCGGCATTTTCCTGTCTGGACTCAGAGGTGGAGTTTAGGTATCGCACATTGCCTTCATCTTTTCACAGCTGAGCAGCTTGAGGTCTGCTTTTTGTTTGAAGCCTTTTTCTAGGTACTTGATCGGGGCATTTATTCCATATTAAATCGTCCAAAAAGTACACCGTGGTGTGCGTGCTCCAAATGTGCCTGTAACCTATCATTACTGATACACTCACAAAGCACAGCCTCTCCCTATACTCAAAACCACAGCTGGATGTACGTGAAAGTAGGGCCCACTTCTTTAATAGTCCTGTGGTGGGAACTGTTAATCAGCTCCCAGCGTGGTGTTTTTAACCCTTAAGCTCTAGATTATAGTCCTGTGGTGGGAACTGTTAATCGGCTCCCAGCATGGTGTTCTTAACCCTTAAGCTCTAGATTATATTTGGGGGAAGGTGCTCTTTCTCCTTATATTTTACTCCTCGTGCAAATAGTGCCATTGGATGCCAAAGCATCTGTGAAGAGGTGGTGCACAAGGCTGCAACCCTAGTGCAGCATTCAGAGCAGCCATTGAGAACAAATGGGAGCTGTGGGTACTAGCTGTTACTTCCAGGACTGTTTTTCATTTAATCCAATGACTTCAGTGCCAAATACGTAAACTGTACTGGAACAAGCGTGCTTCTGGAGACTAGCACAAAATGTGCATTTTCCAAAAAAATAAATCCCTCAGGAAGTCTGAATGTTGGGATATTACAGACGTGAATTTAAAAGCTTTTTAGGTTACTTCGCAGCCTGACCTCCTGCATAAAAGGAGCAAATCGGAGAGAGGGCAAATGGCTGGTACCGAACAACCCATCTGTGAGTATGTGGCATGCCTCCCGCTGGGCCTGAGTGACAGACTATTGATTTGCTACTTTCCTTGTACTGTTTCTAGCTTTTGTTTCAGAGGTTCCTGGTTCGGTTCCCGTATTCTTTCTAAATAGTGTCTTCCAGAAACAGCAGCCGAGGCAGCTGTTGCCTTTTGTGTTCGAAGCCGGTGACTGGCCTTCTAGCTGATTCGAAGGGCATGAATTGTGGGTGTTAAAACAGAGTCTGCTGGTGCTTAAGACTGAAAGTCTGAGGTAATTTCAAGTTTGGTTTGGTGTGAACTGAGTCTTCAAGAAGGCAGGTGAGGGTTTGCATGTTGGTGCACAATCAACATGCAAATCAACCCCACATCTGGGGTTACACATCTCAGAAGGAGAAAGAAGGCATCAAGTTTGCAGGGAACCACAGGTGAGAAACAGCTGCTGCCTCTCCAGAAGAGCCACTTTTGATGGAGGGTGGCGGAATACAGTACTGAAAGCTTGGAAACGGAGGACTCGGGGGTAAATGAAGCCAAGCCGTGTTCTCATTTCCATGCCTGAACACAACGTATTGTTTGGGAGTTTTTTTTCAGGAAATTTGAGAATTGGGATTTTCTGCTGTCACCTGGTCAGGCAGACAAGGTAAAACTGACGTGACCAGCCTTGAGGTGCCTATTTAGTCACAGTGATCTGCACGAACGGGCAGCTCAGCTGACGTTAGATGCAAGTCCTCCTCTCTCAGTAGGCAATACGCAATGTAGCAGAGGTCTGTGATGAACTGGCCGGCTTGGTGCTGGCAAGTGAGATAAGCCTTCTAGAAGGAGAGTTGTGCAAGGCATCCTCTGCTGTGGATTTCTTGAACCTTGCAAGAAGGGCTACTCATGCTGCTGGAAGTTACCACAGTGTGAGGTCCACAGCTGGATTTTATTTTTTACTTTTTTTTTTAACATGATGTACTTTTGCTTTATTTCTATACGTAGGCTGCTCGGAAGCTTCGTAAACCACATTGCTGGTCTACAGACAAGCTACAGTGGGGCTTGCAGACCTAATTTATTTTAAGTAGTTCCATGAATGTATAGTCTAGAGCAGCCTCCTGTCTATCTTTAGGTTAGATTTTTTGCTATGTGGGGAAATCATGATCTGACAGTCTTCCTGCGTCTGGGGCGTTTGCAGTTTCTCTAACCTTAAATAGACTAGCGAGTTTTAGTGGCCATTGAACTTGCCACCCTCTGGGCATTTATGAATGTCTCTCGGTCATCTATTTTTTCAAGAAACTTAGAAATGTAGTATATTTGAAAAAACTTTCACTTCTGTCAGATAGGGTTGGAATTGAGTTTCAAAGTTGAGAGAAAGAGGCAAGGGAGGGGGGGAAGACACGAACACGATTTCATAAATCCGTTAGCCTTAGAGAACAGGCTACAGAGGGCGAAACAGGGCTTTAATTAGTGTCATTGATTGAGCTAGTCTGCAGGTTTTTATAAGTATTGAGTTTAATGCTACTTGAGGCCAAGAAGTCCTTGAAGGTTGTTAGAGCCCAATCAGAGAAGACCTGTCCACAGGAAGAAGATGCTTTGTTAATAGCAAGGAAAGTGTGTACTCAACATTGCTAGCCCTAACATCCATACATCCCCTCCCTGAAATCAGTGGGAATGTAGCCACCACAAATCCGTAGTTGCTCTGTTGTGAACATTTCCCTGTGCTTGGATCACAAGTGGCAGGAGAAGGGAATGCCTTATTTGTGGCTGTGACTCTCTAGAGCTACCAGGAACAGCAGCAATAGCTCTGGACAAAAGCAGGCCTCCTTTTGTACAGCAGAAGGTTCCTCAATGCGATTCCATATCAACAGGGAGGTTTTTCTGAAATAACAATTCATATTTCCTGCAAAAAACAGACTCTGGTTCTCTATTCCTTTTCCCAGTCCCTTTCCTTCTCTCACTTGCCTATTCCATAATAGCAAACATGGCAACAACTTCTTGTCCACCTTGTTTTGTTGCCATTTACAGCCTGGAACAAGCAACAGCTGGTTCATTCTTGCAATGTTTTCCCTAGTTAAAGACATGCTCTTCAGCAAGAAGGGGATCCTCTGAATGCCTTGGTCCATGCCGTGGCTGAAGCAGCTGGAATCTCCAAAACATGAAGCCACAGGGAACTGTGGGGTGGCCTTAAGTACCGCAGTCTGGGCTCTGTCCGCCCCACTGCAGAGAAAGCTGTTTTGAGCAAGGAAACCTGCTTCTTCCATCTGGGAAACAGTCCTGGGGTAAAAATGCCCAATCCCCCATTCCAACGTGTTTGTTACAAGTAGGAAATTAAAGGGAATGACGGCCCCCAAAAAATTATATAATAAACATATATTTAAGACTGCTGATGAAGACACTTGATCTGGAGAGAGAGATCTCTGTCTAGACTGGGGGGGAGTGTATGAGAGTGGCTGTGGGGGCACAGCAGTAGTACTTCTATGCTTTGACAGAAGGGTTACCTTAGAGGTATTGTCAGCAAAGGAGGCAGGACTGCCCTGTCAGTCCGACTGACGGACTTGCCTGGCTGACACCCGCAAACTGAGGGATGCGGCATCACCGGGTCTTGAGACACGAAGTGCTGGACCATGGCCAAGCTGTTGCTGTTCTGTAGGGAGCCACGATGAATAATGGCTGGACTTCTGTCTTGGTCGAGTGGTTATGTGATGTCAGTGCCGGGATGGCTGGGGATGATGATGATGATGATGTGAAGCGCTCTGTGCTGTCCGCACAGCAGAATGGAAAGGCTGGGAGGGGGTGCACAGTTTTGTCTGTGTTTTGGGACAAAAGTAGTCAAAGGAAATTAACTGTGCTAATGTAGTTAACTTTGAAGCACTCTGTGCATATTTGACAAACAATTTTTTTTTCAAATAGTTTTCCTCCTTTTGCCCAAACCTGTGATGGCTCATACCTGCTTGCTTTCTTTGTAGTTTATTGCGTGTACTTCTGCATCATTGCAACTGCTGCACTTCAAGTCTGGTGGACCCCTCTGCAAGAAGGAAGGTGCCCTCCCCTCAGAGCTATTGCTTTGTGGTGGGTTGACCTCAGCCAGCAGCCAAGTACCCTCACAGCCACTCACTCCCCCCTACCCCAGTGGGACAAGGGAGAAAATAGGAAGAGCAAAAGTGAGCAAACTTGAAGGCTGAGATAAGAGCAGTTTAATAAGTGAAGGAAAGAAGGGAAAAAGCCCAAGTGGTGCAAAGGCCACTCACCATCTCCCCTAAGCAAGACTGATGCCCAGCCAGTCGCTGAACAATGGCCACCCTGGAAGATAAAACCCCCACCCCCTTCTCCCTCTTCCCAGCTTTTATTGCTGAGCAAGACGTTACATAGTATGCCATATTGGTCAGTTGGGGTCAGCCGTCCCACCTGTGTCCCCTCCCAACTTCTTGCCCGCCCCTAGCCTACCTGCTGAGGGGGTAACGTGGGCAACAGAGAAGACCTTGATGTTGTTGCAAGCGCTGTTCAGCAACAAGTGAAAACATCGGTACATTATCAACACTGTTTTAGTCACAAATCTAAAACGCAGCACCATACCTGTTATTATGAAGAAAGTTAACTCTGTCCCAGCCAGACCCCAGTACGTGGTGGAAAACATCAGCATGCAGCACAACGTAATGGAAAAGATTTACTTTTTTTCTCTTAGGCAATCCACAAGACAGAGATCGTAGACTTCGTTGTGAGCCTGCAAGGCACAGAAAGCTGCTGGACTGAGTCAGCCTGCAGAAATGGGCGCAGCTTACAAAGGCCTAGGGAGCAATGGTATTTATTTACAGCACTTTTTTTATTCTTCCTTATTCAGCAGGTCTGAATTCCCAGTTGTTGTAAATTCTGGGAAATGACTGAAATTATCAGCATGGTTCAAACATTGCCAAATTCCGTGCACTTTTTTGATAGGAAACAAAATGGAAGTATTCTTCTAGGAGTAGGTGTTTTCCAACTGTGCAAACGAGTGTGTGCTTGACTCGGAATATGATTATTTTGTATTTGGAATAAAGGGTCTTCTACCAAGGAAACACGCCAGTTTAAACTGATTAAACTGTCAAGGATTCTGCTAAGAGCAAGTGCTCCAAAACCTAGGGGAAAGCTGAGTTTTTGGAGCATGTTAGCGCGTATCTGTGTGTGCAGAGGAGAAGTGACTAACATGTTTGTTCAATTTGGCTCCCTTGGCAAAAAGCTGTCTCCCTGGAAGCGTTCCTGCAGGGAGCTGGATAGCGCTGGGCTGCCTCTCCCGGACACCAGTCCATCACACAACAGGGACTTTAAGTGAAAGATTAGGAAATACACCCAGAGTTAAGCAAGAAGTAAGTGAAGTGTAAAGAAGGGTGTTGCCATGATCCATGCTTTGGAAACTTCTTGTAAGCTTTAGATGACAGACAGCTAAAGCATCCACGCTGTCTTTCTTCTCTGACTCTGTTGTAGTTTGCAGTACACGTTCCATCTCTCTTTTATCCTTATTCTTCAGCTCCAGAAGTCATGGAGCCAGCCAGCCTTCCTCACCTGCCCCTTCCCAGTCCTCTACGCTTGTCAAGCTTCAGCAGTGCTTTCCCCCACCAAGCTCCTCCTGAAGCCCCCGACAGCTGAAATCTCCCTCCTAGGCTTAGGTCTGCGTCAGGACTTTGCCTACGGTAAGGAGAGAGAAGCAGCAACGTGGCTGATGTTGCTGTGGTAGAAAAGTTGGTTGTATTTTGGGGTTCTTAACACACACAACCCTACCAACCAACCCCCTTTAATCCATTACATGAACAAATGCCCAGTCTCTGATATATTTTGTTGCTCAGCCTAATGATTATTAGTAGATTCCAGTTTGAATTGGGGATAGAGGCAACTTCATGGTAGGAAATTATGTCTGGGGACTGTGTTGGATGCTATCTGATACTAACTTCATTTTAAATGGCTTATTTTGTTATTTTATTGCCTGTTTTGACCTAGACTGTGAAAGCTTGCAGCTAAGTGGAAAGGACACAAAGGGGAGCATTCATGGAAGACAACCTTTGGGTTACCCTGCCTGGGGAGGGTAGGGGCCGCTGAGGTTAGATGCTCTGCATCTCAGCAATTACTTCTGAAGTCAGGTTCCTGCATTGAGCCCTTTCCCTGGAGAATCCTTTCCTTTCACAGGCTTTGGGGGAAGGCGAGCTCCTCTGCTCTGAATTTAGCTTTTGTGAACATCTCTGTCCTTGCCCCAACAGGAACTGTTGAAGTGCCGTATCACGCAAGTTTGGAGGGTTGTGCACAGTAGGTATGGAAACAGCAGAGGAGGCAACAAGGCAGCGCTTCAAGTGAGAGGAATGTTGTTTTTCTTTTCCCACAAGAATAACTGGATTTATTTGGTGACACAAATCTGAATGAGCAGGCACACCTGAAACGTATTGGCTTATATTATGTATTTTATATGCCAAACTAGATGACATAATGTAATTTTGCCACGTAGGAAAGCAAAAGAAAAAGCCCTTTAAAAAGGAATCTGTAGTAATACAATTAGAATGAAACTTGCTGTTACAAACTCTACTAAATGATGGCAACCTGTTTATTTTATCAAAAAAGCTTTATCTCTACAACACTTTATATATAGTGTACTACTAAGTAACGATAATTAAAAAAAAGTCATGTTGCTTCCTTCGAAGTCTGGCAGTTCCTTTACTCTTGCTGTTTGACATGGCTAGGAGGAAAGCGGGGTCATTCTGACTGAGGGAGGACGCGGCCTCGCCCAGTGCAGCCCTATAGGCACCAGCTATAGCAGGATAAACAGCATTAGTAATCATCATAGTTGACCCCTGCTCCGTGCCTGAAGGTGTGTGGATTTCGCGGGCCAATTGGTGACTCTTCATCGTAGTGGTGTTGGTAGTATCCACCATAGTATTCATTACGAGCACGCCCTAAGCTTGTCCAGTAGGAGATGTCATCTTCAAATTTCTGCCGAAAAAAGAAAATACTTGCTTTCCCAGCCTGAAACTTTACAATGAAGAGAGTGAAACAGAAGTGGCGCAAGAGGTTCCTTTTGTCTCTTTCAGAAATTCAGATCCTTTGCGTATTTGTCAAAACGAAATCTTTAGATCTACGGGGTTTTGTCACTTGCACCTACCTTCTCTGTGGGATTATCAGGGCCCCGAGTGCAGGAATTGTCCTGCCCAGCCCCACCTGGGACCCACCCCCACACCCTCTGCCCACTGTAGAGTGCTTAAACTGAGAGCACCTTCAAATGAAACATGCGCTGAGCACCTTTAAATTACCTTTTCAGTGGTGGACTATAAAAACATTTCAATGATTTGTACTTAAAAATCTAAAGGTTTGGTTCTCCGTTGCCCCGTGCCTTTAGTCACGGTGTCCCTGACTGCAAAGTGGGTGCAACAGGCTTTCGCTTTACGCCTGTGATCTTTCACTCCCATTTCGCATGGGTAAAAATGAATGTACAGTGCAGCCCTCTAGCTATGGAAATGCAATAAGCAGTTCAATTCTGCTCACAACAGCAGAGGAAAAACAGTGCGCAAGGATATCAAATACTTGCCCAGCCAAAGCCTTTCCATCTGAATGACTCTTTGGAAATATTTTTGGCTGAGATTTGAAAAAAAAAAGCTTTGCAAAATACACAATGGGTAAGTATGGCTCAAGTGCTTTGCTGGAACAGTTAGTTATTTCATTGTTAAAACTGTGTCTTAATACTCAAGAAAACCTACTAAGAGGATTCATTGTATCCCACAAGAGGCCTCACTTCAGTTTTTGAAATGCACACGGGAGAATTCATCTTACCTGCATTGTTTGTCCTTATTACTTACTTCTTGGTATTTGCCCCCAGCCTTCCGTTTCTGATGCATAAAACCACTTTTCCTATTTTTCCTATTCCTACTGGGGGAGGGGGATATAGCCATGCTGTTAAAAAGTCACTTTTATCTGCGTAACGTCCAGGAGGATACAAAAAAAAGGTATCCTTCATTATTTCAGTCCAAGCAAAGGATTATTTTTCTAATTGTTCCAGCTTTGAAAATGAGTGCATTCATCTTCTAAGCAATCCACATAGCATGAAGGTCCAAAATGTACTCCAGCTTGCCTGTGCCAATGCAGTCTCATTAAACGTATTCATGCAGCTGACAGAAGCCAAGAATTCAACATCTATAACTATTTTTACCTCTTATTAGCATAGAAATTATTCTACATGTGGGACTGCAACTAAATGCACATTTTTCACCCTATTTCAGCATCTATATAGTAGAGCTTTGTGCAGAGCCGGGAACTCTTGATTCCACTCCAGTGTTTTTACAAATTAATTGTTTTTTTTAAAAAAAAGTATCCTTCTCATTTGAAGGGAGGTTGGCTGCACAGTATCAAATGGTTTTCCTCTCACATTTAGAGTCGAGGCACAGCTGCCGGTGCTCGTGATGGTCAGGAGCTGCCCGCACCACGGAGGCACGTGCATGCATTAGGTACGTAACGTTAGTGCCATTTCATTGAGGAATGCCAATCACGACCAGCTTGGTGTGGATTTCTCAGCGTGTTTAAAAAGTAAATTGATTAAGTTGAGGCTGCCAAATTAATTTCCTGAAATACGATTGATTGCTTTGGGTCTGGCCACCTATTTCTCAAAGCAAACTTTGTCCGGTTGCAATTTGTTAAGCTTAAGTTCAGTAGCCCGCAAGAACTGCAGGCAAGATTTCAATGTCATTTTTCTCTATTAACAAAATAATGCAGAAATCTCTAACAAATACGGATCTTATATTCCTGTGCAGTATTTGCTACTTCAAAAAAAGAAGTCACGTTATCTGTGAACGGAAACAGGGCAGCTTTTCCCTGGGTGCCCCCGTGGCTGTGCAACCACGCTTGCAGCCGCTCACTCTGAAGCCCTACCAACCCTCGAAAGCCTTACCGCCTCATCGAATCCCAGGTACAGGAACTGCTGGTACCACTGCTGTACGTCGGGCTGGCTTCTGTCCCACAGCTGGCGCCTCTGGCGTCTCAGGCTGCTTAGGAACTCCTTGGCCGCCGCTTCTTTCACTGACACCTCGGGCTTCATGGCAACAGGGGCTGAAATTAATTTCCCCCCCAAAAAGGCATGCCAGGAAATTTTTAGTCAGCCTGAAGCGTACCGCTTGCGGCAAGTAAGAAAATGCTTCTCGCATCATGCCATCACCTTTGTGCTCGGCGGCGCGACGCGTGTCACGGCAGTAACAGTAATAAACCCAGGAATCGTCGATGTAACAGGATTTTCTCAGCTACCCTCATTCTCTTGGCTTTGATAAAAGCTGCTCTGAGCTCAAAGATGTAAGCTAAGTAAGGAATTTAAACAAATAAACCCAAAGTGAAAGAGCATACGCTGTGCTGCGCTTTGAGGAGAGAACAGGAGACTGGCCTTTGCGTGCTGCTATTACAGGAACAGGAAAGAAGACGAGAGGTGAAGTTAAAAAGGCTGAAGAAGCTGAAGAAACACTGCTAACTTATTAGGGTGAAGGGAGGCACACATAAAAAGACAGATTTTTGAATCTGTTGTGTAAAAATGTAGCTTTTAAATAATGAGTGCTACTAAATGCCCTGTATGCCTGAAAATAAAAGGCCATCGGGCTTTCATAGCACGCTGCTTGGTGGATGCGTGGGGATGCCCTCAACCTGCCAGAGCCAGACGTGCCATCTGGCTTGCCCCATGCCTGAAAAGCAGGCAGTTTGCTGCGGCTGCTAGAGGAGTTTATGTACCTCCAAAAGGTATGGATGTGAGGACTGGCTAGCCCCCTGCCACGCATGGAAATGATAAAATGTGGTATGATGTTTGGTCTTCCCGTGAAACAAGAAGCACGTGTAGGAGTAGGAGGAACGTCTTGGCTTCAGGGGGTTCACTGCAATGAGGGAGAGACCAGGAACACGGGTGTGGATGGGGATTTTTGGAGGACGCGAGGGAAGATGCTAGGGCAAGAAGGGGAAGTCGGGTGGAGCTGTGAAAACCGTTGAAGCAGGAGCTGGGCAGAGTCGCAGGGGGAGGCGAAGGACTGCGGTGGGAAGGAGATTCAAGAGGTAAAAACAATAGCTGAGTTGTCACGGGAAGAGTGGGAAATGGCAGGCTGCCCTGCGGTGATGAGCTGGAAACTGGTAACTCACCGTGCGCTCCGGCTGGGTGTTATTACTGCGAAGCCGGACAGCTGAACAAGTGTGAGGTGAATGAGCCTTGCACAAGGGACACTGCCAGCAAGGGAACCAGTACTGTGTGCTTGGCCTGCTCGCTTTAGCGCACAACTGGAAAAGGGGAGTGAGGCTGGAATTAAGGGGCTGCGTATTCCCTCCATCATCAATTCAAGGCTTTGCGGTTCTTCCTGGTCTAGGCCGCGTTGTCGGCACGCTCCCCCCGGGCGGTCCCTCTCACCAGGGGACCTGAGCAAACAAGCCGACCGCTGCTGGGGCCCAGGGAGGGCGGCTGTTGCAAGCGGTCACTCCTATCTGCACGTAAGCACTGCAGAACGCTGAGGTAGGGAACCCACGCGCAAGGAAAACAGCCGTGGATGGGGCACACATTTTGGGGCTGGAAAGAGGTGGTGGGTGACGCCAGGAAAAACCCAGTGAGTAGTTAGGCAGTCTTGCAGAAAGTGGGAGTCCCTTCTGTGCGGGGTGTAAATTCTTTGCCTCAGCCATAGAGCAGGCTGAGGGGAGGCAACCAAAACTTCTGGGGTGTTTCAGCCTGCCCCCCATCTGCTGCAGTGCTGCTTGTCCCTGGCCAGCTCCATTTCCATCCCCTTCCCTCAACCAGCAAGCCATTCGGTGCATCTGCCCGCTGGGCCCTTGGCCATCATCTCTCCCGTAGAGAGAGCAGTCTTCCAAGAAGGAAGCACATGTGGAGCCAAGAGGACAAAGGGAATAAGTCAAGGCATCGCGAGCAAGCCCGGTTTGCACATTTTCTTCTCTGCACCTGAGCCAGCAGTATTTCCATGCGTTATAATTCCGTGGAAAACTTGTGACTTCCCAGAATAAACCGGATAAACGCCACGTCTGCCATGCATACCCTGGAAAAGGTAGCTGCTATACACTGCGCAGAGCAAAACGCAGGCGTACTGCCTGAGGCTGGGAACCCTGCTTTCCAGAGGGGGCTGTGATAAGCAGAGCCTCCGGCCTTGCCAGTAGCAAGTCCCAAACGGACTCCACGGAGCTGGCACCGTACGCACAGGGGGTTTTGGTATGGTACGTAGTGAGAGCGGCTGTGCGCTACCAGCTTTGAACCAGGTGCTTGTGCACTGCTCCTCCGACTGCCCTCTTTGAGCTGGAGACAGAGCCACAACACCTTGGCAGCTTTGACCGATAGCAAGTGACTCAAAGGAAAAATAAGGGAAAGCACTTTGCCGCCTCTTTACTTACCTTCGCGTTTCTGAAGCATCAGTTTGAGCTTATTTCCCCTTGAAACATCTGGACAAGTAAAAATAAGACACATACATTTACTAAGAAGGAAATAACAACAACAAAAAAAGATCGTATCTTGAAAAATACTGAAAGTATTTTTGTCATAGCTCCAGACCACCAAGGAAAACTCGGCAGCAAGTTTCTACCAGTGTCTCCCTTTGCTCCCGTTTCCACACTCGAGCGCAACATGTGCTACAAGGGAAGCTTTTGATACTCCAGCATCCTCTCCCCAGCTCTTCTTGGCAAGGGAACCCCAAAACTGGCCGCCTTCGCCAATTAGATTATAATATTTTGCAGCAGAAGACCCCCGCCGGTGCCACTACTGTCACACAGTGTCCACAGCGGCATGATAACCCTGGAAAAGCCTTGTCACCAAGCGAGGGGCACGTTAACAACCGGAATGCTTCACGATTTTTCCTTGCAGCCTGTCCCAAAGCACGTCAAAGCTGTCGTCCCGCTGACGCCCTTTCCCAGAAGGGATCCAGGGTTTCAGCCCATGGCCGGGCAGCGCAACAGGAGACCCGCGAGTGCTCGGCTGCTCCGAAGGGCTTTATTCGCCGCAAAACAAGCTCTTTAAAAAAGAGGCTCACCTTGCACAAGTTTTGGAGTGACCAAAAACGTTCACCCACGCGGCCACGCGTGATGCCAGGGGAAGGCTTTCGCCGGCTCCCCGGGGCGTGCCGGCTCAGGTCTCCCCCCCCCGCACCCCGCAGCCCGGCCCGGGCGCGGGCGCTCA